AGAAAAACCGGCTTTTTTGCGGGTTTGCCGGCGCCTCCACAAAAGCCACATTGAGCCATTATTCCCCGCGCCGGCTGCGAGCACTAAAAGTGGCGCCTCGCGTCCTGCCATCTAATGACCCTTCGCAGGCTCCTACAGATGTTTTCTATGACTTGCAGCTCCTTTTCCAGCAGCCCTGTCCGCAAAAACAAGAGGGGCCACTTTAATTCCAATTAAATACCTCCAGCTAAGCAAACAGAGTGCAGCGGGGCTTGGGCACGGCACGGCCGCCAGACCCGGCCCACCGAGTCGCTGAGTCTAGACTCCAGATGTGATTCCACCAGTGTCCCATGGAAAATGACGCTGGCCGCAGCGCGGGCACCGGGCACAGCCGGGATGCGGCTGCCCCTTCCCTGCCGGCTCCGGCGCTCCGGGACCTGGGGGCAGCGGCCTCACGTCCTGCGTGTCCAGGGAGCGCTCAGATGTGTCCCCTCGTGCAGGGCTCTTCCCAGCACATGGCCTGAGGAGGTGCCCGGCTTGGGGATGGGGCTGGGGCTGCCGTCCTCTCTGCGTGGAGCAGAGGGGATGCCGGGGGTCCCCACGTGTCCCCAGTGCCGCAGCGGACGGCGTCTCTGCGTGGAGCAGAGGGGAGGCCGGGGGTCCCCACGTGTCCCCAGTGCCGCAGCGGATGGCGGCTGGGGCGTCCCCGACCTGTCTGGCTGCAGGGAAGCTCCTTCACTGCTCGCTGTGTCCCGGGAGCCCCCGGGCACCAGGCTCGGGTCCTGCCAGCGCCGGCTCCACTCCTCGCCCCCTGCTCCTGCGGCCTCGCTGCACGCTTGGTGCTGCACACATGGCGCTGCACGCTGTGTGCAGCACTGCATGCTCAGGACTGCATGCTCCACTCCGCACCGCACACTCAGTCCTGCACGCTGCACTTGGTGCTGCATGCTCAGCACTGCATGCTCAGTGCTGCATGCTCAGTGTTGCCCACTTGGCGCTCCATGCTCAGCACTGCACGCTCGGTGCAGCACGCTTATGCTCACGTCTCCGCGCTCAGTGCTGCACACTTGGCACCGCACGCTCAGTGCTGCACATTCAATGCTGCATGCTACACTTGGTGCTGCATGCTCAGCACTGCACGCTCAGTGCTGCACACTTGGCACCGCACGCTCAGTGCTGCACACTCAGTGCTGCACACTCCGTGCTGCCGCAGAGCGCGGGGCTGCGGGGCCAGCGAGGGGCTCGTTGCAGTGGGCCAGGCGCCCTCCGAGGGCTCTTGTCCCGGCCACGGGGAGCAGGAAGCTGCGGGAGGGCAGAGCGGGGTCACCGGTGCCGCGGGCGCCGCGGCCCTGCCCGGTGCGATAAGCAGGGCCGGGGCAGGGCGCAGGAAGGAAGCGCGGCCGCCCTGTGAGGAGCCGCGAGGGCCGCGCGCTCCCCGGCTCCAGCGCGGCCGCCCCTGGGCCACCGCCACCCCCTCGCTGTGCCCGGCTCCGCGCGGACCCTCCCCCTCGCCGCCG